TTAAATGGAAAACATCTTCAATTTTTTTGAAATTTTTTCAAATGGATCATAAAACTAGTATATTTCGAAATTGAATGACTAAAATATGTCATGTATCAAGAATAGTCAAGTAAATATATCACTCAATTCCACCCCACCCTTTAAAATAGACATTGTCCTCAACGGACTAAAAGATAGTGAGCTATGCAAAAGTTTGAAATATTGTACTCAACTTGTTATACAAATGTCGGAATAGGGCATAGGAAACCAACACTTATCATTTTTAGCGAGATTATACATCAATCAAAAGCAACCAAATACGAAGAGAGAAATTTCTTCAACTCCTAAATCCAAATAAAAACAAAGGGATATGTTTCTCCCAATTGAAGAACAAAACCTCATTGGTTGGCCAATCAGGTTCTGACGTCTCTTCATCTCCTCATCCTAGTAATGGATATGTTGTATGTAACAAATCCTCATATAGAGATCCTGATCGAGTCATGATCTCTATCTCTATCTCCGTCTTTGTCTCTTCAATCTCCTCAAAATCATCTTCTTCAATGGCCTTTTCTTCCTCGTCCTCTTCAATAGACCCCACTATTCAATGCATGACCTCTCCTACTGGTAGGGTGATCTCTCTCTTTGCTACATTGATCATAGCACAAGAAGTGGCTAGAATGGTCTACTAAAGACTAGGAAATATGGGATTTCTGTATTCATCCTAATCACCACATACTATAGAAAGAACATGAAGGGCCCAATTTGCATGCTTAAACTTCAAATATTCCAAGATGTTGACATGGAGTATAATCAGTCATTTTAATCTCCATATCTATGTCTTCCATGCCATCAAGACCCACATCTTCGTAGGAGGAAGTGGTAGTATGTTGACACTAGAGCCAAGATCTACCAATCATTGCTCCACATAATGGTCTTCTAGGAGACAATTGATCGTGTAATGACCAAGATCCTCCTTCTCTTCATATACTCTAATGAGCTCTTTATGTCCATAAGGAGTTGAGTTGATGTTGGTAAAAATTCTCCTTCTTTATAAGTTGCTCATGCTTCTCGCTTGGCTTTTCATAGCAATGATGATCTCCAATGATGAACTGGTCATGCTCGACCCTTACTTCTTTAAAGTTCTTGTTTCCAAGGTTTGTGTAGATCCTTGAGAAGGTGATATTAGGGGATCTTGAATGGTTTCATCCACTCCAAAGTTTGGTTCTTCTGTGCATAGAGATTCGTTGCTTGGGGTAGATGGGATGGCTACTCCTTGCTCTACTTCCTTTATTTTAGAGGGTGATGTAGAGGTTTCTTTTTTTCCAAGAACGAAGTGGCAGTCTTCGTCAGTTTTCAACTCCCAACTTGAGTTGAACAATTGATGGGTGTGGCTTGAAGCTTCCTCCATTAAGCTAGATGATATATATTCTTTGATGAACTCCTCCATGATTGCTTGGATGGTGGGGGCATTTTGCTCTTCTTCTAAGTTGGATTCCATGTTGGCCTGGTCGTAACCATTCTTGATAGGTGGTTCCTATTGTAGCTCCTCCTTTAGTTAGTTAGGTTAAGATGGTTGCTCAACTGGTGGCACCTTTCCTACTTTATCATTTGAGGCTGATTATCCTTGCTTGAATTTTCCTCCACTATCTCTTCTTCAATGTTTGGAGGGTCATCATACTCAAACACTTCCTCCTAGATGTTTCCAATGGTGGGTGCCTTGGTAGATGGAGTACTTTTTTATTCAGATTGAAGAAGGTGTAGGAAGTGTTCAAATACTTCAAGAGTTGTGAAGCCCTAAACATCTTCCCACGAATCCAAAAAGGTTTAGATTAGTGTAAGTTCTTGGATACTGCATCCTTCTTCTTCCATTGTCCTCCTAGGGGTTGTATCTCTTCCTCTCCTTCTTCAGAAGTTGTAGGATCACCTTCTTTATCATAGATCTCATTTATGCTGCAGGACTAGAGATGGATTTATCATAAATCTCATTGAGGAATCATCGATTCATGATGTGAATGAGCCCTAATTTGCATGATTGTTTTCGATTTCACTACCTATTACAATAACGTATCTTTACTTTGATGCATCTATAAATAAAAAAAAGCCCTAAACAACTTTACTCTTCTTGATTGCTTGTTCAATTCATGTAGGTCATGATGGTTGGTGTGAGTAGTTGTGCATTAGAAGACCTCAAGGAATACGACCATAGGACATCCTAGGACATTTAATCACTTGCATGTTTACTACGCATCAGCGGCTACCTTAGGCATCCATGATTTTTCTTCTTCATCATTTTGCTTTTAAACTTCACTTGAGGGAAAGTTGGGTTTCGAACCCCCCCCCCCCCCCCCCCTCCTCCTCAAGTGTAAAAGTGGATAAAAAGTGCAAAACATATTTTAAAGTGATATTTATATGCATCTCACTAAGTTTGTTTCCTCCCAAACCAACTTCTAGGATTTTTTTGCAATTGGGTTGTTGCGATTACGGGTTGGATGTCTAATTGTTCATGTGGTAATGATAGGTTCGCTATGAGTCTTCAAGATCAGTTAGGAAGGTTTTGGAACTGATAAATGGCCTTCACATATCTTAGGCTTTAGCGACAATCCTACCCCAATGTTGGCCTGACCATGCTTATTATTCTAGGTCAATTGACTTTTCTAGACTTTTGTGTTTCTATGAAGTCCTGTAGAATTTGTGCTTGATTGAGCCATGACCATGTTGGGCGGATATGGAGGCGGTTGTGCCTATTCTTACTCCTAGATCTGTGGTTCTTCGTTATTAGACTCCTTGTCCAATCCAAAATACTCATTTGGTATACTTTGGTATAAAAAACTAAAAAAACTACGGCATCAAAAGTATAAAAGTAAACATAAGGACTTTAAAACACATATTGGACAATATTGAGCAAATCCTAATGTCGCGATAGATCCTTTTACCATGAAGGTCATGTAGTATCATGTGGCCTGATCCATGGTCACACATGATGTTGCCTTGTAACATTCGCTTAAACTTAGGAATTTGCTCCATTATCAAGGCAGAGTTTAGAGGTATGGTGGAAGGGCTCTAGTAAGCTTGGAGTGTGGTTTAGACGAGTATGAGTCAAGCTAGACTCCCATTATGCGGTTCAACTACTTCAGAGTAGTGATTAGAGCAACCACTAGAATACAACAGTCATTGACTATTTTCAGGAACTAGTTTGACAATATGAGTCGACCTAGACCTCACTATGCAGTTCAACTAGTTAAGAGTAGTGATAAGAGCAACCACCAACATCAACAGTCATTGATCGTTTTTAGGAACAATTTGATATAATTGAGACATTGCATCTCCCATAATGATGGCGAGGGTAATAAATGTGCAAATTATTTAATTAGTCGAGGACTTATTTTTGCCTCTTGGATTACATGATATTTGAAGTGTTGATCATGCTTTGTATTAATCAATCTTGTATGACATTCATGGACTTTTCAAATCTCAATTTATTTGGAATGAAAGTTAGGATGTTTTTCATCCATTCATATTAATATAAATAAAACTGAAGTTAGGTTACTCTTGCCTAACAATTTACATTTTGATACCCAAATTTACTTAAATCACAACTTAGTCACTATAATGTATAATTTACATTTTGATACTCCAAATTTAATTTTAATATAAAATTATTGAACTACTATGTTTTGGTATCTAAATTTTATGAGATTTTTGTACCTATAATTTTTTCAATTTACATATTGGTCCAATGTTTAGATTTCACTTGAATCCCTGAATCCAATCCACCAATCCTTTTAAACCAATCTATGAATCCAATCCACCATAACATTAAAGTATAAATTTAGTTTGTACAATACAAGATGGTGTATCACTCAACTGTAGGAGAAGATTCGACCATTTTATATTTGCTCATTACGTGAAACATTGAATAAATGATAAAAGAGGTACGACTCTAAAATATTGCAAGAGCGAATTTACGAACTCATCATTTAGTACATTTAGGGGGTACTAAACAAACTTCTACTAACTACATGTAACAAAATATGCGACATCGACATAAGCAAGTGTCGATAAATCGTTACGGTGAAAAGGGTTGATTGTTGTATTGACGGCCAACTAAAACAATTGGTCAAAACCTTTCAATCATCTACTTCCTTTTCGTTTCATTTTTCACTCGCCTTCCATAACTCTTTCTTTGCCTTCTTCGTCTAATCCTAATTAGTATACTATTTTTATGTATTCTAATCACAAGTATGAACGAGTCCATACACGACTCACCAACAGTCTAGAGAACTAATAATTGAGCTATGAACCACTAACTTTTTTTTCAACTCAATGTTGAGTCCAATTAAATATATTGGTTATTACTTATTAGAAAGTCGTTATTTTCCACTATGGGATGTGATATGTGTAGATATCTAGCCAAACATTCCATGTATATTTGTTAAAAATTCTAGCTCGGGTGAAAAAGAAAAACTCTAGAGAGAAACTTCCATCTACAAACTTCCAAACTCATATATACGTCATTATACCCTATCCTACCCATAATCAATGAGTCTACTTTGGTTTAGGTAAATATCATTTACGAGCCAAAATTTTCAAAAAAATTAAATTGAATATTGACCGTCGTATATCTCTTCTCGGTCAATATTACTAACAAAACTACTAACAAAAAATTAATTTTAGGCTAATAATACTAACAAAACACCATAATGGGCCACATAATACATGCTCATACGTCATATCCGCCCCACAACAAAACGTGGCATCGCCAAAAAATATTAATTAACCATTGAGATTAGTCGAAATTCAGAAAAAGAGATCTAACGGTCATATCACATTCGTTACCAAAATCAATGGCAAAAGGAATTCCAAAAGCTAAACAGTCCTCGCCCGTCTGTAAAATTTCATTTGGCCAAGTCTCCAAAACCATACTTTTCGTCAAAAAAAAAAAAAAAAAAAAACCCATACTTGGGACTTGGTAACCTGAAAAATTAAAAGCTTTCATAGACTTGAACTGTTAACTGACATCTTATAGCTAGTATATATTCCTCTTGGCTCTTGTCCTCTGGCTATTAATAAACTGTGGACTAACAGATGGAACTCCCAGCACCAGAAAGAAAGAAGAAATCTTATCTTGTTTTGTTTGATTCCACTCAATCCTCTAAATTCAGCAGCAGCCATAACTCAGAAACAAAGAGACAGAAAAAGAGAAGAAGGTAGAACAACACTGGGCGCCAGATAGCCGCCGCCCGAGGTAGGGAGAGAACGGGAAGAGATGGGAATGGCGGCATTGAATGTGGCGTCATCACCGCCGTCGCCACTCTGCAGCTTCTCTTCCATACACAGTCTGAACAACCATGATTATTATAATATTAACCATGCAAATTGCTTACATTCTGCAAGTGAATGGGTCTCCACTAAGGTTAACAAGAATAATTGTAAATTCCTTCCGTTCCCTTGTTCTTATCATTCCTCTGTTCCATCGACGAAACCCAAATCCGCAGTCTCTCGGATGCCAAGTAATCTCTCAAAATCAGGTGAATTTCTTGCCCATTAGCTTCTTAATTCTTACTCTCTGGTATTTTGCTCCAATAAACAATTTTCACGGGTTTTTTTTAGATTACCCTGTCATAAATTCTCTTTCAAGAACTGAATTAGGGTGTTGTTGTACTTGGGTCCTGTTTCAATCGGTGGTGTCTAGAAGCGATTAGGGTTGTTTCTAATCCCATATGATTGTAGAAAATTAACCTCAGTTCTGAAAGGTGATTGCTTTAGTCAGAAATGGGATTCAGCTTCAGAACACAATGTTTACAACGGCTGAATTGGGGTAAACCTAGTTGAAGTTGATGAAATGCTGAATATGGTTCTTAGACTAGGACATCCGTGTGCTTGGCTGACACCTTTGGATGGTTTTACATCACCAGGCGTTCTTTCTGATGCGATATGCAGGTGGCCATGGATGTTCGTGGATTCAGGGCAACTCCATTCACGTGCATCAGAATCCCATTTCCAGCAAAAACTGGAGAAGGGGTTCAGTGGATTCAGCTTTCCCATCTGCGCCTGCAGAAGTTGCTTCTGTGCAGAACTTTTTCGAGTACATATGCGCAGGTCCACTTATTGGCAAGATGGGTTTGACTTCAGATACAATTGCTGAGTCCATTGACAAGTGGATTCTCTATGGATCCCTCTTGAGCCGGTTGTTTCAGCTCAATGACATGCACCTCACTGATCCTCAGAAAAAAAGGTTTTACCACTACTATATCCCGGTTTTTTTATGGTGTGAGAATCAGATTTCCAAGCACGCTTCCCAGTTCAAAGATGGAGAAGACATACCTCCCCTAGTGGTACCGTTTCCTTACAAGTTTACAACGGCACTCTTTTGTTTATAACCAATGCTAGTTAGTAGTAACAGGGATTAGATTTTGTTTTACAGATTGGTTTTAGTGCACCTCAAGGTTGTGGAAAGACTACTCTTGTTTCTGCTCTTGCTCATCTCTTTGATGTCACTGGAAGGTAAACCAATGATAATAGATGATCCAAAATGTATATTGACACCAGACTGGGAAATTTGGACAATTGACCCATACGATTTCGTTTTCAGGAAGTCCGCGACAATATCAATAGATGATTTCTATTTGACGGCAGAGGATCAGGTACCTTGTCAATAAACTTCATGCCTTCAAGTTAAAGGAAGCTGAAGCAATTTTCATGTCAATTGCAGGGTAAGCTGAGAGAAGCAAATCCGGGAAATTCACTTCTAGAGGTTGCAAGCAACCAATCTCTGCTTTGAAATTTTTCTATACGATGAGAGCAGCCTCATGCAGGTGTGAACAACCTTGAAATAAACTTGTTCTCTGATTTGTGATTTCCTCTTTCTTCTTTAGTTACGTGGAAATGCTGGGAGCCATGATCTTCCATTCTCAGTTGAAACACTGACTTCTCTTTGCAAAATGACTAAAGAAGGTAGGACTTTTCCCCTTGGTCATCTTCCTGGTGGTGTAGCGCCTGTCTTATTTGATACTGTTTTTTTATATCAAGTTTTCAGGTATGAAGATGAAGTTACCCCGCTATGATAAAGTAAGATAGTTTGATGCTTTTATTGGGTTTTCTGTTGTTTAAGCTCAGAGTTGTTCTTGACCAACTTACTTATTTGTAGTCTGCATATAGTGGTAAAGGCGATAGAGCTGATCCTTCTGCCTGGCCAGTTGTTGAAGGACCATTAACGGTATAAAAAATCCTCTTTAGTCACCTTCAATTACTACAGTACAATTTTTAAAAATCCATTATTAGTTTACTCATGCAGTCATGTGCATGTTGCTTTAGGTGGTTCTGTTTGAAGGTTGGATGCTTGGGTTCACACCCCAACCTGTAGAAGCTGTTCGAGCTGTTGATCCACAGGTTATGGATTGAGTTCTTGTGCAATCAAGTCTTGTTTGTTCTATACTCAAATAACTAAAAATTTCTTCTTGATTGCACAGTTGGAGATAGTGAACAAGAATCTCGAAGCATACTATGATGCATGGGACAAGTTTGTGGATGCTTGGGCAGTCATAAAGATCCAGGACCCAAGTTGTGTTTACCAATGGCGACTGCAGGTTGCTTTTTGATGTTGGAATGAAAAGATTAATTCTTTTATGCAGCTCACATAGAGTTCTTGTGCCTCATAAGCAACAACTAGTCACCATTCTTTTCATTGGTATATGTCATTTTGCAGGCAGAGATTGCTATGAGGGAAGCAGGAAAACCTGGAATGACTGACGAAGAGGTTGTGATATGCTATCGACATCTTTTATCCATAATGTCTAAATTGTCTCTTTCTGAAGTGGAAACTTCACTGAGGAAGAGTTTTCTTATTCTGTTTTGCAGATTGAGGACTTCGTTTCCAGGTACCTGCCGGCATACAAAGCTTATCTACCTGTACTTTACACTGAAGGACCAAAGGGGTCGACTCCTGAGAATCTCCTGGTTATTGAAATTGATGAAGGCAGGAATCCCATTCTGGAGAACTAGCTAGTTAATATTATCATTTATCAGGAAGGAAAAATGCTGCGAACTTGAGTCAATTTTATGAAGATTTCCTTTTTCGTTTTCATTTGAAAACTCAGGTTTTTGCTATTCGTTGTTAAACAATCTAGAAACCTACGAGATATGAGTCCAACAAGGATGGCGAGAGATCATTACCCACTATGGAACCCATGGTGCTACCCTTTTAGCACCACCAAATCATCTCCAACCCATGGTGTAAAAGGGGGATAAAGGGCTAAAACAAAAAATTGGAGCCTAAAATAGGTCTAGTTCATGGAGGCTAAAATTTGGGAGGAGCTAAAATCGGAACCACTTTAGAAAAGCTGGCAGTCAGTAATCGTCTGCGCGGCAGGCGCGTGCCGCATTTTGGCGCACTCCCCGTCCGCGTGGCTGGCTGTCTTTTTGACCGTTGGCTGCTTTTTTTCTTTTTATTTGCTTTATGGTTCTTTTTAAACAAATCGATACACATTTGCGGTGCAATTTTCGACCGTTCCGATGCTATTTGACGTCGAAAAATTCTATAAAAAATTTTAAAATTATATACCAACGGCTATAAAGCACGAGATTCAAAATAATAGCTAGAAAAAATTCTATAAAAACCTCATCCAACTCCTCATTTCATACACCATCTCATATCTCACTCTCTACACTTTCTCCAAACACCTCACCTCCAAAAAAAAATTCTCATCTTCTGCAATTTCATCATGAGCAAAAGAGGTGTCAACTAGTCTGAAGATGAAGACAGTCTTATGTCAATTTTGGTGCAAATATCATGCGACGGAGCAATAGGCAATGGTCAACCCTTCAAAAAGTTTTGGGAGCGGATAGATGAGGCATTTCATATGGTCAATCCACACTTGGAGCGCTCCGAACAATAGATGATGTCAAGGTAATAGGCAAGACGTGTAGCTTATGAAAGGGGGCATTGAGGAAGGGTAACGAGCAAAGATCTAGTGGTCAAACTGAAGATGACGTGGTAAGTTTTTTTTCTTTTCCACGTTGTGAATTTTATTATCTCTTAATCTTGATTATGAAATTATATTTTGTAAATATATGTAGTTGGCCATGTCAGAGGACATTTATAAGTCCGAAATGAAAGATAAGGATTTCAAAGATGAGCATTGTTAGAGGATCCTGTCACAATGTTCTAAATGGGAAGCTTTCCATTTTGACCGAAGTAATCATTCATCAAGCGTAAATGAGCAATTTCTCTATGATGTCTGGTGAAGCCTCGGCTGCCAACTTGTCGGGGAAGTGGTGAACATTCCTCAGCCTCCATTTGTTGTAGTTCCTGTTGGAGTTTGTGGTCGAACATTTGAAGCTCTGCATACTCTTGCTCATAAGACGAAGAAGATTGAGATGAATACATGATGCCTTGTTGAGGAAATTTTGAGAGAAGTAAAGAGTGGGGGTGATTTTTTTTCCCCTTTCAATAAGCTATATTATATAGACAAGATGAGCGGTGTGAGTTGTTTCAAGTACTAATAATTGACTCAGTATATTCAATTATTAGTACTTGAAACAACTCACACCACTCATCTCGTATCCAGAAAATTCAGTGAAAGAAGATTGAGATGAATACATGATGCCTTGTTGAGGAAATTTTGAGAGAAGTAAAGAGTGGGGGTGATTTTTTTTTCCTTTCAATAAGCTATATTATATAGACAAGATGAGTGGTGTTAGTTGTTTCAAGTACTAATAATTGAATATACTAGTGTCCAAGTATGCATAAAGATGAAGTGATGGATCACTGAATTTTCCGGATACGAGATGAGTGGTGTGAGTTGTTTCAAGTACTAATAATTGACTATACTAGTGGCCGATTCTGCATAAAGATGAAGTGATGGATCACTGCATTGTCTAGATATGATATGGGTGGTGAGTTGTTTTACAATTTGGCAGGAAATTACACGACGAGATCAGCCTATCATACTCTCCCCGACAAACGTGATCATCCGGCTGGTCAAGAGAGTCATTTGAGCAACCGCCCAAACCGTCAAGACTGGAAGTGGTTATGGTCTCTTTCTCTCCCTCCAAAGTTGAGGTTCTTTGTTTGGAAGTGTGCTAAGAAGGCTATTGCAACAAGGGAAAGGTTGTTCTCGAGGAAATGTGCGCCAAATCCGATGTGTCCCCTTTGCGATACACACTCTGAAACAGTCATGCATTGCTTGTTCTTCTGCCGGTATGCTGCTGCTACTTGGAAGATATCAGAACTCATCAGCACTTGCCCTCCCATAACTCCTCTTTCGAAGTATGGTTCTTCAGCCTCCAAGATACCCACTCCATTGCACATATTCGCAGGATTGTGTGCTACCTGTGGAATATTTGGCTTGCTCGAAATTCATTTGTTTTTGAAGAGAAGGCTCCTACCCTGGCCTCCACAGTGATTGTGTCGACTCGTGACTGTCTTAATTTGGAGGAAGCTCGTGTGACAGTGACGAGTTCCAATATTCTCTCTGCGGCACAATCACGATCTCAGCCTAGGGGTTCACGTTCGAATCCTTCACCACCGCCTTTCTCGGCTTCACGAGTGATGAACTGTGATGGATCCTTTGTCTCAGGTTCATCTTTGGCAGCTTATGGGATCACTATTGTTGATTCCCATGGTGAAGTGTACGACGGCAAGACTGAGTCTTTCCTTTGCTCCTACCCATTCAAGCGGAAGCATTTGGTCTCTTCAATGTCATCCTGATTGCATCGCAAGATCAGATTCCTACGTGTATCCGTACGGATTGCCAGGTTCTCTCCATTGCTTTGCGTCAGGATCCGATCCACTGGCCTTGGCAATGTCGTGCGACAATTGCTCGCATGTGTTCGATCCTCCAATCAGCTCTGTGGATCAAAGTCGAGTTTGTGCCTCGGCGTTTGAATTCACTTGCGGATTGGGTTGCCGGTCAGGCTAGGTTGTGTGCGTTACCGATGGACTGGATCCTTATTTGTAACATCATTACTCCCATCTTGTAATGTTTCTTGCTTCCCTGTTTGGGGTTTGGAATAAAAAGTTTTTGCCTGTCAAAATAAAAAAGTACTAATAATTGACTATACTAGCAGCCAATTATGCATAAAGATGAAGTAATGCCAAGAATTTCAAAATAAAGATGTGAACCATCAATTGAAGGGATTAACTAATAATTTTAACTATTAAAAAAAAGTATCTCGAAAATTTCTCAAATTTTATCGAAATGTTCGTATCTAATTATCATGAACAAATATATAAATTTAAATTGAAAAACATAACTTAAACTATTCATAAGTTATGATTACCAACTATGAAATAGAAAATTATAGCCCCCGATCTGCATCAGTTTTTGTTTTCGAGGGGGCTAAAAGGTCAATTTAGCCTTAACCCCCCATTTTTGCTCCATGAGTTGCGATTATCCTAAACCACTATGTACCAGAGCACACAACATAGATGCATCTACTTCGATGCCACCTCCTCCGTTGACTCCCCGGGGGATATGTTACTATTGAGGCTAGGCACAAGTGCTAGATTGAGACTAACACCAACATGTATCGGTATTAGGGGTGGAAATCGGTACGGTATCGGTATCCCAATACCAAATACCGAAATCCCGAATACCGAATTACACCCTAAAATCAATCCCAATCCCTAAATAATTTCGGTATCCCAATCCCTAAATAATTTCGGTATCCCAATCGGTACCTCGGTATCCCAATCGGTATTATCGAATACATAATTACTTACCTTTGCAATTAATAATTAAATATATAAATTAAATTTTATTGTTTAATTTAGGGCGAAGAGACTAAGAAAATAGTCTTGAGTTGCCTAGAGCTAACATCTTAAGTTCTTGTAATTGGTAATCTTTAATTTGACGAATTTGAGGTTGAGAGACGACTAATAATAGTGTGAAATAGTGATATAATGATCTATGTATAATTAAATGACACTTTTGGTGGTTGATGGTCGCGTAGTAGTGAATGTGAGAGTCTAGTTGAGAGGATAAAATACACACTAACTTATATTTCGGTATTGATCGGTATTTCGGTATATACCGATCCCAATCATGTAATCCCTAATACCGAATAACAATTGAAATTCAATCCCAATCCCAATCCCACAAAATAATACGTATATTCGGTAATACCAAATATAGACAAATTCGGTACGGTATTCGGTATATCCCAAATACCGGTACCAAACTTCCAGCCCTAATCGGTATCACACCATGAACGTGGCACGACGGCATGCCCATCAGACACGGTGGATTACCAAAGCTTGGCAGCAGAGGATGACAATCAAAGTTGACTCTCTAGTTCAGAGCAATGCAAAGGCAAGGACCTGGATGGACACACATGGTCCAGGATTGCCAATGTGCACCACAAACTTTGGAGCAACCCCACGGATGAGGGTTTAGGTGAAAAATATTTTTTTCTAATTTTTTCCCTACTTGTGTTGAGGAGGAAAAGCATTTTCTCTTTCCCTTTTTTTCAATGTTTGTTTTTTTTTTCATTTCCTAAATGATTTGGATGTTAACCTCAACTATTTTTGCATACTCTTTTTATGAATTACCCACATTCGAGTATTTTCGTTCTTACCTACCCTTACCTTCTTATTATTTGATCTATTGAGGACATAGACAACGTCCCATTAAAGTGTAGGGTGGAGTAAGATCAAATTGTGCTTGAATTTATAAAAATAATAAGATTTCATAGTGTTTTGTTTCCATTCATATGCTAAATTTTACAAATCTAAGACTGCATCAACCACCATTATTGGCATGAGATTTTTAAAGTTGAATGCTATATTTTTGGATGCACGACCTTTTATAAAATCAACTCTATGGCATCCACTTCAAGTATTTGACTTGTCGTCTTTCTTTGAATCAATTTAATTTTAATCTATAAATTGCATTTTATCTAGGAAGACTAGTGTGGTGATATTTTTGTCTTGAGACATAAAGACCACTCATCATATTTGGATAACATGCATGATCTTGTCCGTTACAAATTTCCAAAATATGGCAATGAATCTTTTGCTTTTAATTTTTTTAGTATAGTGAATTGTACCTTTATAATAAAAAATTTGTCTCACAATCAAAATAAAAACACGTTGCCATAACGAATATATTGTGGGGTAAAGTGCTCAACGTGTGGTACAATCATTCATTGCACATAGGGGTATGAAAGTTCAATTAAAAGTTGGTTCACGATCGTCAAATTTTGATCAATATTGTATGATCCCCCGTCGAATGAAGTTTTTCCTTGAGTATGTGCTTAAAATGCAAGGATAAAGCTTATGGCACCCCTTTCTACATTGACTTCCTCACGGATCGAGGAAAAGGAGTTAAAAGAGGCTTGCTAATGCACATTTTGTAAAAATTGTTATAGTAAGAAACAAAAACCCACTTATTAAATACGAAAAATCAACATGATAATAGAGTACTCTTATTGTCAAAAAGGTATAGAAGTTCTAAAGCAAATCAAAAAATTTCAGAACTTTAATCTACATGTTTTTA